TGTACCGTGTGCTGCTGGCTCAGGCAACGGGAGTGGCTTTCCCTCAACAAGGTGAGGCAGAGATCACTCTGAGAATCCGCCTTTGCATCTATTTGAATGAAGGTCCTATGTTTGCAACTTCCAATTAAAATCTAATTTGATTTCCAGCATTTCAGTCTACTTTTTTTGTCCAATAAACCTTTTACTGATATGGCTTCACTCATGTTATTGACATGTTTAGGAACACCACCGGAGGAGTTTTCTCTGACATCAACCCCCCGACGTTCACCAACAACCACTCCCACCACTGGAGCTCCCACTGCACTCGTGACCATGGCCGAGTCTGTCGAGGTGCTGGAGGCCAAGGCAGCGCTGCGGCAGGTGACCAACAACTTATGCACAACTTGCAAGTGTTTGCATTTGAATTTTATGCATTTTAAACTTGCAGGTAAAACTCAAGCAGCTAAATCTTTCATTCCTGAATATACAGAATCCTATAAAAACATACAAGAAGAAAACATAACTAAAGTTTAAAACTGGAAAAGATTTTATTTTGGTCATGTGTGGAAAAACAATCAATAGAAATCCAGTATTTTGACCTGTATTTTTGTAAATGATCATTAGCTTTAGGGTGGCCACCAGATAGCGTTGTTCACTCTACAGAGAAGAGGTCTTTGCAAACCATTTCTTATGTTTGCAAGGAATCAAAGTGTTGTAAAAAATATCCTAAGTGTTTCTTTACCAAGTTGCAGAGGAAAAAATAATTATCACTGCTAAAACATATATTTTAGAATACTTTTGTAAAGAACACCACAGAACTGCTGCAAACAGGTTTTCTTTAAAAACTCACATCTTTTGGCATGGAAAAACTTGACGTGGTATGAATTAAGTCTTACTGTATTGTAGTTACTTTATCCCCCCTCAAACAGAAGATAAATATATATGAAAGTAAATACATTTGTCTGATTTTATGTTCAGTTGCAGGAAGTGTTCTCTGCCTACAAGAAGGAGCGTCTGGAAAGCGATAAGGCGATGAACGAGCAGAATGAAAAGCTGCAGGAGCAGCTCTCTGACCTCCGCTCTCAAAATGCCAAAACATCAACTCAGCTAGAGTTTGCATCAAAGAGGTAAAGTTCAATGAACCAGATCTAGTTCTTCTAAACTTCTTAGAAAATAAATTAGATTGTGCGGAAATGTTACTCCCCTGACTTCTGCCTCTGCAGGTATGAGATGCTGCAGGATAACGTTGAGGGCTACAGGAAAGAAATCGCCTCACTTAGAGAGAAAGAACAGAAAACGGCCGCCGCCACACAGAAACTTGAGCAGAGTGTCCACACGCTAAATGAAGATCTGAAAGCTGCAAAGGAGAAACTTACCTTGACTGAGGTTTGCTAGCTTGTTTCCTAGTGTGCACTGGAAAGAGCCTAAGAAGGGTTTAGTGGTTAAATGAAAAATCTGCAGAATGTGTTGATGTTTTTTTTCTCCAGATAATCAACTGTCAGAATAATCGATTACTAAAATAATCATTACAGCCGTGGTTTCTATTCACTAATTAGTTGACTTCTAAATCTATTGAGCACACTGTATTTTATTTAGCAATATCAGAGTAAGGAGAGGTGAATATCTGTGCATTTCTCAGTTTTTAGTCTTTTATTTGAAGCATGTTGAAAATATCTTGCCATTCTCTTCACACGTCACAATTATCCACTCCTGAAGACTTTTGAGGGGCTCTTTTTCTTAGGTGAATCGAGCTACCTCATAATTTATCTCATCTCATCACTCAGGGTCAGGCTGAGAAGCTGCGCAAGGAGAGAGACATGCTGAAGCTGGTGGAGTCCAGGCTGAACCAGGAGAAAGAGACGTTTGTGAGCCAACAGCAGAACCAGAACCTGCTGCTGACCAATCTCCAGACCATACAGGTAACTGAAGACTTAACTTTACCTACTGTAGTAAGGATCAGGTAGCAGAAGCTGGAAATGTCTGTCGTTCTGTACTTCAGGCCACTCTGGAGCGTTCTGAGGCCGACGCACGTCAGCGTCTCAACGGCCAGATCGAAAAGCAGGAACTGCAAATCTCCCAGCTTCAGAAGAAGCTGGAGCAGGAAGTGGAACAGCGCCATCTGTGCAGCAGGAACCAAGAAGTAAACACCATGTCGAAGATATTTTCTGAAATTAATTGATGTGATATGTACATATACAAAAAAACATTATTTTTTAATCTGCAGATCCAACTAATGGACGTCAAGAGGCAGCTGGAGACGCAGGTGGCCTTACATCAGAAAACCAAAGAGCTGCTGAATGGGGCCGAGTTGGAGCTCAACACCCTGAGGATGCAGCAAGGCCGCCCCGAGGCACGCCACACCCTGGGCTCTCCACCCACACCCGTCTTCAGAGGTTAACATAACTACTTTTATTTTTCTACTTTAATTTTTATTAACATTTTCACTGGATACCAACATGTAAGGATATACCACAGACAGTGTTGCAGCCCCTCCTCACAGCATCCAGAACATAAAGTAAATGTATATTTAGACAGAAGAAAATTGTAAAAGGGAAACAAAACATCTCAGTTGCAAGTGTCTGGAATCTATAAGCATCTTTTGATGATTGTGTTGGATTTCCTTATGTCTCTTCTTGGATGTCATAAAGAATGAAGACCAGTTGTTTCCTCAACAATATTCAGTCATTGTATTGAGGGAGCAGTTAACTGGGACCAGCTCCTTGTTGGGGCTTTTGTTTGTAAGCAATTAATAGAATATTAAATAAGTACACATCTTCCTTCAAAATGTTTAGTTTTATATTTCCAGAATGAATTTTCTGAAAATCTTTTGTTACGGGGAACCCACAAATAGGTCTGTGACGATAACAGGTTTTGCTGGACAATAAATTGTCCCAGAACTTGTGATAAACGATAATGTTGTTATTTTGAGACCATTTTCAAGTAATATGGTAATAATAATGTCATAATAAAGCAAGAACACATTCTCAAACATAAATAAACTTTAAGTTGGTACTGGAAGACATTTGAAATATACAAAATAAATTAAAAAACAACAAATAAATAAATTATGAAGTCTCTGTAAACAAAATTGTCTTTCAAAGACTGAAGATCCGTTTTGGGAGAAAAGAGAAAAACGATAAATCAAGTAAATTAAAATTGAGTTTCTTTTCATTTTTAATGCGATTAATTGATTTATTGTGACAGGCTTACCCACAGATTCTTTAAATTGTAGCATTTACATTTCTCCAAAACAAGTCTAATTTCTGTATTATTTCCACAGAAATAATACAGAAGCAAATATGGAAAACCTGGTTTACTTTGTCTTTATCTAGTGAGATTTTTCCACCCAAACTCTCCCCACAGTTTGTTGTTCTGCTCTGACTTATGCAAACATGTTGCCATTCTTCTGATGTCATTTCCATTTTGGTTTCTTTTTCCCCGTTACTTTTTTTATATGCACGGTTGATGTTGGTGTATTTTCTTGGCATAAAGACTTTTACTAGAACTATGCAGGAGAACTGTATAGTTTATTGTTTAAAGCGTATTTAAACATAAACATGTTTTCACTGGATGTTATAAAGTCTGCTTAAATGAAGCAGTTAATTGGTTCTCTTTCAGATTATTTAAATGTGCGTGCAAAGAATGTAATAAAACACAATTACACCGTTTTGTTTTTAACGGTTGTCTGTATTGTTGTGGTTTGACCCAGTTTTAGGTTATTTGATGGTTTCAGCCACACTTTTTTTTTTTTTTTCTTAAAAGACTCGAGACTTGAAATGATTTTGTTTTTCCTGTAGGGAAAAATGCACGCTCCCCAAGCTGTTCTGTCTTGTTGCAGGCCTGCAGGGTTCAGATCAAGAGAGGGAGGAGCTCCAGGGCCGCCTGCAGCTGGCTGAAACCCGGGCAGAGGAACTGGCAGAGAGCCTGAGGGCCGCCACCTCCAGCATGGAGCAGTACAGAGCCATGGCTCAAAGCTTGGAGGAGTCCCTGGAGACAGAGAAGCAGGTCAGGACGCCGTGTAGACACCACCAGTTTACAGGACTCTCACATCATAAACTGCTTATATGTTTTACCATCCTCAGTGCTGTAAAGCGAGTTATAGAGAAATTCCTTTCGGTTTAATACATTTGACCACTTTATTTTTATGCCAAAACAGTGATGGAAAAACACTTAGCCATGAAAGCACGCACAAAGAGCCGCCTCACAATACTATAAATTGTTTAAAAACAAGATTTTATGAATGGCAGTAATATTTTGGAAACAAATTGTAGTGTCTAAACAGACCATATCAAATTAGGGCTGGCAACATTTCTGTTTGTCATTCACAGCAAAAACACAAAATTTCACAAAGTATTTCTGTTCTAGCTTCTATTGCAAATATCTTAGTATGCTGGAAAAAAGACAAAACTAACTTACAAGTAACTTTTCAGTGAGATTTTAAATCAATGATTCCTTCATATTAATGAAAAAGTGTGAGCTATGAGTGAAATTATCTGCCAGTGGAACAAGACTATTTTTTTTATTTTTTTATTTTTTACTTATAAGTGAAAGAATCTTTTTCATCAATATTAAGGATTTATTGACTTAAAACAAGTTCCTACATGTTCCTGAAAAGTTACTTGTAAGTTAGTTTTGTCTTTTTTTCAAGATGTTTTTCTAGAAACTTGACCAAAAATACTTGATAAGATTTTGATTTTGCAACATTCCTATAAATTACTCCTAATATACCAAAGAAGTATTAATTTAAATGGTCAAACAAAAGTTTGGCTCCTGATGTTGCTTGGAGAACAGAAGTCCTCCTCTTGGTTTTTATCTTCATTTCTTCTGACGGTTGTGTTGACTTCTTTCCCACTCCCCAGGTAACGGAGCAGGCTCGCCTGTCAGTGGAGGCTTCTTTGAAGGAAGCTCAGGAGCGACACCGGACGCTGGAAGAGAAACTCCAGGAAGCAGAGAAGGAAAAGCAGGACTTGGAGGAGAGCAAGAGAAAAGACCTGGCATCTCTAGAGGAGCAGGTCTGAAATCCACCATCATCAAACTATGGAAACGGCTGGAGATCATAAATTAGCATGATGGGCTTCTCCTTTTTCTCACACTTGTTGTGACATATCTACTGGTTTGTGTGTTAGATTAATGACCTGAAGAGAAGCCTGAGCGATGCGCAGACAGATCACCAGGCTGTGCTGCAGCAGCTGGAAGTAGTTGAAGCCCACAAGCAGCAGGCTCTGCAGGACCAACAGGAGCAGGTAAGCATAACCCAACAAACAGCAGTTTAGTTTGTTTTCGAGCATCTGTGAAGATATTGCAACATGCAGGTGCAAGGTAATAAATTAAAACATTTAAAAATTTGTTGTTTTTTTTATTCTAGCATTGATACTTGCATAGATTAATATACCTACGTATTTGTTTTGAATACATTATAAGGCAATAAAAAAAAGAAACCATGCTGATGACATAATGTGATGAAGAGCTACAATAGTCTTCATAACTGTGATTATAGTAGTGTACAGAAAAGGAGTGGAGCAAAATGAAATTCAACATTTTCTTCTTAAAAACAGCAGGAGGAGAAAGTTATTCATTTTGCTCTTTGCATCATTTAACCAGTTTTCCTTAAGAATAATGACGTTTATACTCCGAATATTTCTCCTAATCTATCAGTTTTTGTAATGTGCATAGTGGCTGTAGCATTTTTTCTACAATCCACACAAAAATTGAAGTGTGATAAAAACCACCGAATGATCCAGACTCTTGTGACTTCTGGTTTAAAACCTGCCTTGTTTGTTCCATACCGTTTGCTATTTACACTCTTATATCTGACTTTTGTTACCATATTTTCCGCACTATAAGGCACACCTAGAAACCTTCAATTTCCTCAAAAGCCGACAGTGCGCCTTATATATGGGCCAATATTGAGCCACAACAGGTCTAGCACCTACGGTAAGCAGCCTCCGACTCAATTTTCACCCGCAGAAGAAGAAGTGCGCGGTGCATGCTGGGATAGTTGTCAGACCTCTGGTTTGTTAATAACGTTTGACTGACCTATCTACCTACCAACCGTCTATAATCAGGTCGTCTGCAGGTCATTTAGCACCACGTTCTCCACCAACATGCTGTGTGCGAACGGAGAAGGGTGACCATCGTCCGGCGACGCCCCGGCCCAGTCGCGGAAGGCTCTCCTCGCCAACTGGAGTCGGACTGTTATGTTGACATTTTTTATGTCAACAAAGTGGCTTTAGACATTCACCCGGGGTGCTTCGACTAGGGTTACCAAGGGACCAGCCCCTATACATTTAAAGCCGGGGGGTGGGGGGAAAGAGAGACAGAGACTACGGCGGCTGTGTGTCGGTTGGTCTGTGTTACCCAGAAAGCAGTTGGGCACAATATCCCATCACCGTGAGTGAAACAATGACTGGCCTACTATGTAAAGTACTCGGGGACCAATTCTTTATTATTACACATCCATATTTGTAGAATACGGAACAAATCGTGTCCCGTACAGGTTCAATACAGGACGGTTCAGTATTTTAAGGGACAGGTGGCAACCCTAAAGTAGCATCTATTCTATGCGCCTTATAACGTTGCGCCTTATATATGAAAAAAAGTTTTAAAATAGGCCATTTATTGAAGGTGCGCCGTATAATCCGGTGTGCCTTATAGTGCGGAAAATACGGTAATTTAGTGATCATGGCACAGAATAAAACACAGAAAGGTGTTTACAATAAGTTACTGTCTAATGTGCATTTTACTTTTTAAGTTGAATTCCCTTAATTATTTAAGTTTTTAGTGATATTTGCCTTTTATTGACATGTACCCGTATTTATAGTTCATGCATTTAAGACGTAGACTAATTGAAAATAAACAGTGTAGTAAATGTTGTTAGTAATGATAGTGAAACACTGAGTCAATCAGAGAAAAATGCACATTTGTCTTTTGATGATTTATTTAGACAATCAGAGTAAAAGGTAAATTATTTTTTCTCAGAGATCAAGCTGGAGAGAGAAGCAGAAGAGTAAGAAGTGAAACTTAAATCATACAATTCTCTCTAATAATCTTTTTAGTAACACACACTGCCACCTCCCATCCCACTCCCTCATCTCAAGGCGTCTTTTTCTCATTCTTCTCACAAAGAAACATCTGCGTCCCTGAACTAAAAACCCGGTTCAGAGACTAAAACCACCTCGGAAAACTTTTATCAGTTCCATTCTCACAGTAATAAGCCAAAGTTGTTATTTTGTCAAAACACCAGCTAGATTGGTGCTGATGGAGCTTGTTGGGAGCCCTGCACATGAACAACAAATTAAATCTTTTTCTCCCTCCTCCAAGGCTAAGCTGGCCGCTGAAGCTCAAGATAAATACGAGCGGGAGATGATGCTGCATGCAGCCGACGTGGAAGCCCTGCAAGCCACCAAGGCTCAGGCCCTGCAGGCCGCCGAGCTCAGAAACCAGCTGGAAGAGAAAGTCCAGAGAGTCAGCGCTGAGCTGCTGGAGGCCAGAGTCTCCTGGGAGGTGCAGGAAAAGATCCTCAAGGTTTGGTCAGAACAAGCTACTGCGAGCCTAAAGAAATTTAAATTAAGAAATTATTCATTGTTTTTGTCCTTGATTGATTTACTGTGGCCACGATATTTATAGGAGGAAACATCTAAGATGGAAAGTCGCTATGAGGAGCTGCAGAGGCAGAACACCCTCCTGCATGAGCAGGTCCAAACCATGAGCACCAAGATGGCTGCCAATATTCAGCGTGCCGCCAATGAGAGCTCGCTGAACGTTTCTTTGAGTGAAGAGGGAAAATCTCAAGACCAGCTGCTTGAGATTCTCAGGTAAGCCGGATAATTTTCCCCCTCCAAAGTTTTCTCTAGTATTTCTGAAAAACCCTGAAGTCTTTCTCTTCTGTACTGATTAATAAGTGCTACTTTTCTTGGTGCACCGCCCATTCTTGGTGTTTATTTTTCAATTTTATTCTAATTTTCCTATGCAGTTTTGTTCGTCGGGAAAAGGAGATGGCTGAATCCCGGTTTGAGGTGGCGCAAGGGGAGAGCTTACGTCACCGTCTGAGAGTTGAACACTTGGAACGAGAACTTAGGGAGGTGCAAGACAGTCTGACTGCTGCAAGGGAGAGAATGCAGGTGTGTTTCAAAACTTACACTATTAACTTATTATCAGAATAAATTTCCAAACACATGTTCTGCTTCTAATCCCTCTGACTTGTCTCAGGTGACTGCAAAGACTCTGGCCCAGCATGATGAGCTGATGAAGAAGACTGAAACCATGAATATCTTAGTGGAGACCAACAAGATGCTGAGAGAGGAGAAAACCAAAATGGAGCAGGAACTGCAGCAAACTCAAGCTAAGGTGTTCACCTCATTTTATTGGAAAAAGCTGGTTGAACTCTTTGTGCATCTGTTGCTCAGTTACAGTCAGTAATTTATGTTCTCACTTATATAAGCTTCATAAATTTCATCTTAATTTTGAGCCTTAAATTAACTATTTTCCCTGTTTTTATATCAAGATGATATGACTATGCGCACAAGTTTGAATTTTCACTAATAATCACATGGTCAAAAATAAACAGAAGGGCTCAAATATTAACTCCCATTAATATTTTCAGTTTCTTCCTTGTTTATGGATGCATTTTGGCCTGGATGTATAATTTGCATCTTGTGCAAATTAAAGTAAAATCTTAAACTCCAACTTGCGCACCCATTTAATAAAAAAAATAATAATAATAATTCAGCTATGTCATCATGACAGCACAGGAAAAAAATAGTTAAAATGCACCAATATAAAAACTAAATTAATGACTTTCATGCCCATGACGAAGACATCAACTGGAAGCTGTTAGATTTGTCTCTAAATTCATTGTTTGAACGTTTCTTCACACTCAACTCAAGAATGTCACGTGTTTCAGGTGCAAAAGATGGAGTCGGACGTCTTTCCTCTGCAGCAAAGCAACTCTGAGCTGAGTGAGAAAAACGGCATGCTGCAGGCGGAGAAGGCGATCCTGGAGGAGGACATAAAGCGCTGGAAGGCTCGAACTCAGGTCAGTTTAGACATGAGAAGTTAAAGAAAAGAATCTGGGAAAGTCCATGGAGCGGTACATTACATTAATGAAAGAGAGAAGAAATATCACAGAGCAAACAAAGAAAAAGAAGCAGAAAGTATTGTTTTTAAGAATGAGGAAAAAAAAGGAACACTGACAATAATAATAAATCAGTAAATTGTATGTGTTTTCTACCTTGATATTAAAAAGAACTTCTAAAAAAAAAAAAGTCTGGGAAAGTTTTACGTTACTATGTCAATCCTGCAGAATTTGCTGAGTCAGCAAAAAGATTCGGACCCTGACGAGTACAAACGTCTCAACACCGAGAAAGAGCTACATCTGAAACGCATCCAGCAGCTCACGGAGGAAAACTCTCGACTTAAAGCCGAGTTGAACAAGTAAGAGACTTTTTTTTCTCTCTCTCTTTTGTGAGGAAACATTGTTACCGAAATGTTGACTTTTGTGGATGCCGCCACTTATTTTTCTCCAACCTGGCTAATATCTTCTTCTCCTTGTCGCTGCGCAGGTTAAATAACATGACAACGTCACTCCAGGGACAAATGCAGAACCTGCGTGAAGGTATGAGTAAAGCAAACGATGACAGAACTGTGCTGAGGAATGACCTGGAGACTAAAAACCAGGAAATCCAAGAAAAGGTGCGAACCATCACCCAGGTGAAGAAAATCGGGCGACGCTACAAGATGCAATATGATGAACTAAAGGTGCAACATGACATGGTAAGGGTTTCTCTCTGCCTCGGTTAAAACACTTTGGAGAAAATGCATAGTTGATTGAATCAATAACAATAAAAGAAAATTACCTACTGATAAAAACCTTAGCCAAATTATTTTATAACAAGATAATTAAAAGGTTTTATTGCCTTCCTGAGCTGATAGGAATGATTTATATTAGGAGAAAAGATTATATGATGCTCTGCTGTGAGGGAGCATTTGCTCCAACACAGATATTCCTCAAACAGACAAAATGATTACAGGGTTGCCATTTTAAATTGCCTTCAGCATCTTAAATTAGCGATTAGTGTATCTGGTAAACCGTTACTCAGTTGCAGAACAAGGCCAACATTTCCAGTCTGATTTATCCTTCCTCCATTTGTTATTGAGCATACTGACTTTGCAGTGCTCTGATCAGCCTTCCTTGTTTTTGTAAAACATATTGCTCTCTCTATTGCTTTTGCAAACTGAATGAACAGAACAAACAAGTAAACTTCATTATTAAACTATTTACTGATACTAAAAATAGCCAGTCCTCTTCACTGTGCCACTACAACTGATTTCTCTCTCCATCTCTGCTGATATCTCTGTTTACGTCCTGCAGCTCGTTGCTGAGGCCGCTGCAGGCCCATCCCAAGACGTCGAGGCACATCAGGCTTCAGCTCAAGAGCTGCAGAGCGTAAAAGATTCCCTGAATCAGGCAGAGACCAGAACCAAAGAACTGGAGGGACAGCTGGAGAACACCAACAAGGTTGAACATCACAAGTGTCAAGAATGAAACTTCTAAGACTCATTTTGACTTTAAGGCTTTTCTGATGTTTAGATTAATAAATTGTTTTGTGACCCTTCAGGTGGTCACAGAGCGGGAGACTGAGCTGCGTAACGTCCAGGAACAGTCGTCCAGGATGCAGACAGAGCTGAACCGCCTGAGGCAGGAGCTGCAGGAGAAAACGACGCAGGAGGAAAATCTGAGACAGCAGATGGCCGAAAAGGACGAGAAAACACGAAAGGCGCTTCTGGTTGCCAGACAGAAGATCAGCCATGTCACCGGTGAGAGGATTTTCTCATATTGCAACATGTTGTGTCCAACAAAAACGTAAGAATTGCCAAATCGTAAACAAGATTCAGACGGGTGCTTGAAATCCTTGAAATCCTTGAATTTCAATTAGGTGTTCTCAGGAATTGGAAAGTTCTTGATATTCAGACTGCGCAGTTTTCTAATAAAGTACAACCCAACATTTGATTAAAAGCCTAAATTTACAGTTGAAACAAGATATTTAAAGATAATAAAAAGACATGTACAGATTTTTTATCACAATTTAAAGTTAAATAAAACCAATTTTTTCTTATTTTTGTTCAGCTAGAATCACCAAAACTATTTTTATTTGCTAAATACCAGAAAGAGATTTTTTTTTTTTTTACTTTTTTGTACCAGTCAGGTATGAGAGGGATATTTAAAAACATAAAACTTTGTTGTATTTTAGTTTACCTTGTCCCTGCTGTTCAATGTAGAATAGTATCGCAAGATATTATTAGTAACAGTAATAAATCTAAAATAATTTTGTTTTTATCTCCAAAATGTGATGCTTGAAAACTTACCTGTAGAGATGCCTGAATTTTACTCTGGGAAAAGTGTACAAATCAAAATAAAATGTTGTTTGTTTCCAGTATTGCTATATTAATTGCCTTTAAATGCTTTGCTTCCAGCCACCAAAGAGCAGCTGCAGCGCGAGAACGAGGAGCTGAAGCAGCAGCGTGAGGAGCTGGAGGTGCGAGTGAGCGCTCTCAGGTCTAATTATGAGGGCCGTCTCAGCCGACAGGAGCGGGAGCTCAGAGACCTGAGGGGTCAGCAGGAGAGACAGGAGCAGAGAGACGAGCCCCCCGAGGCGGGGCCAAGCAAGGTGAACCACCTCCACCACATCTCCATAGCACTCACACTGGAAAATAGCAGAAATCTTCAAAGATTAGAAACCACGACAGCCTCACTTTGCATAACAACCTAACCTGTATTTTTCAGATATATGTGAAACATGTATCTTTGTTTGTTGGATTTGTGAAATTTCTGTCCAAGTCTTTTGCGCTCTCTAAACAAATGTTTCTTTTCTCATTTTAGACTCAAGAGCAACAAAGGACGACAGAACAGAGGCAGATCAGTCTGAAGACGACCCCAGCTGCAGACAGGGGCAGGTAATTGTTAAAATTAATCCTCAAATCTCCGCTGACGTCATTCTACAGAATGAAGATGTTTACTTTCATTCGTAAATATTAGAAAATAAATTTTTTTCTACAATTACGATTTATACAGGTGCTTAAAATCCTTGAAAATGATTCAATTACAGTTGGATGTTTTCAATATTTGGAAAGGGCTCGATTTCTCTATTAAGTGATTGATTGTCAAACTGCACAGTTTTATAATGCAGTGTAATTTAACGATTGAGCGTTAAAAACCCAAATTAGAAAAAAAAAAGCTACAGTTGAGACCAGATATTTTTATGCACCTAATAAAAAGACAAACACATTTTTTTTCAAACTATTTGAAGTTAAATCAGACCAAATTTTAGATCAGTTAGCATTAAACAAAATTATTCCTATTTGCTACATGCCAGAAAACTTAGAGAGAAATTTGTTTTGGAAATTTTTTGTAAAACAAAAGGATTTAATAGAAAAACTGAATATTTTGATGGTTTTGATGCTGTAACTCTTGGAACACCTTCATACCAGTTTCCTGATCAGGACATCTTGTTGCATCTGTAAAATGTTCATTCAAGCCATCATTTTTATTTTTCATCTTCAGCACAAGCGCCTCTGAGCCGCCGACCGCCAACATTAAGCCGACACCTGTGGTTGCCACGGCCAGCAAGCAACCGGTCAACCCCGGCAACAAACCGACACCCCGGGCAAGCATCAGACCGATGATAACGCCCGTGCCGCCGCCAACACCCACCGCCACAGTCATGCCCACCACACAGGTGGAGACGCAGGAAGGTCGGTCCGTCTTCAGATACCTTTGATTCAAAAGGAGAAAACGAAGGGCTGCAGCTAACAACTATTCTGATGATTTACTGATTAGTTGGGTAAAAAAAAAATTGGCATGTTCTACAAAGTTTTCACGTAAACTTCTTTAATACAAATTTAGAAATGCACACAAAAATGCAAGCAAACAAATAATTTAATGAATTTTGTGAATAAGTAAATAATTTTATTGAATGAAATTCAATAACAGGATTTCTTTAGTGATTATTTGCAGCTGAAGTAAAGCCCCTTTTTTACTAATAGGAGGATAGCAAAATGTGCTTAATATGAGGGGGTGGGGTTTTTAGCTAAAACTATGCAATCTGAGGAGTTCTCCGTAAAACAAATTTACCAACAAAGAAAGTTTTTCATTTTAAAATCAAAATATATAAATTTTTTACTACAGTTTTGACTTATTTTATTTCAGCAAATGGACTGTTTTTAGAGTCTTCACTCTCCAGTTAACGAGTAGATAATTATTATTTCATTGATCGATTAATTATTTTAGCTCTAAAAAAATCATTTTCTCCACCTGAACCTCTCCAACAGCCATGCAGTCTACCGAAGCGCCGCCGGTGGAGCATGTGACCGTGTACGGAAACGCCAGCGGCTCCGTTCGCTCCGCCAGTCCCAACGTCCAGACCACCTTGGCGGGCTCCATGCTGACCGTTCAGCAGACGCAGACTCAGGCCACGGCGTTCGTTCAGCCGACGCAGCAGCAGAGCGTCACCCACCCAGAGCCGGACAATCGGGAGCCGTCGCCTGTTACGATCGAGGCCACGCCCAGTTCGCAGGTGGAATGGCCTTCAACATCCTCCTCCTCTTCCTCATCTGTGTTCGGCACTGGTGAGACATTTGTTCCAAAAAATCATTTCTTTCTGGTATTACTTTCCTCTCAGTTTACCGTTCACCACAAAAGTATTTGCACCCTTTAGAATTACATAAATGGTTCATTTGTTTGAATAAAAGCTAAACTCTGGCTTCAAATACCTTAAAACTCTGCAGTATTTATCTTTGCAAAATGCATCAACAGAGTCCAGAGTGAAATAAAACAAGCTGTGAAATCTGACTGATCGGGTGATAAATTGGATTGTATCGATAAATCTTTTTTTTTTTTTTTTTTCAGAAAATGTGTTGAATAAATGAAATTTCTTCGCCTTACCT